AAAAAAAAAAAAAAAAAAAAAAAGAGAGATGCCGCAAATTCCAGGCGCTGGGAAAAGGGAAGGAAATATCAAACACTGAGATGCGAAGAGGTGGCGAGAGCCGGGGAGGGTCCTCGCTGCCCTTCCCCGCATGGCAAAACCCGAGCGGTTCCCGTGGGACCGCGCTCCAAAGCAGCGGGACTCTCGCCTAGGTGCCCGCAGCGTTAACGCGGCGCATATATATATATACATTCATATAACGTATATTTTATTATTGCACTGTGCCTCGACCTAGCAAAAGAAGCGCAAATAACGCACGTTTCCAGCGCGGCCGCTGCACTTGCTCCCCTCCTCCCCTTTTTTTTTGCTGTTTTTTTTTTTTTTTTTTTTGTGCTGCCCCGCGTGTGCAACAGACTTGGTTTTGGCTCCTTTTTCGGGGGTCTCGTCAGCCCCCTTCCTCCCTGCACCGTCCCCGGCCGTTCTAGCTGAGGATGAGGGGGGATCCAGCTGCCCGGCCTCGAGCAACATCTGCAGAGCGAGGGTGTAAAAACGGACCCCAAACCCCCAAATTCCCAAACCTCCCTCCTAGCTGAACCAGAAAAAAAAAATGCCTAATACAGCACTGTTTTTTAGCAAAAACGATGCTCCTATCTCTGCCTTTTTTTTCTATATAAGCACATGAGTTGTCAAACCTCCCTGCGCCCGTCTAAGCCACGAAAACGTAGGGTTCCCTGTGAGGTTTTGTTTTGTTTTTTTTTTTTCCAAGGTGTTGCGGATCCAGGTGAACTGCCACCTTTCCCAGCACCAGCTCCCCCGCTCAAGCCCCTCTTTCCTCTCTTTCCTGCGGATCGCTTGGGTCCTGGCTAACTTTGGAAAAAAAATCACCCCTCTCCTTAAGCACTTCTATTATTTCTCGTTAAAACCTGCTGCCCTCCCTGCAGCGACCGCCACCCGGAGTCCCCGAGCGCGCCGCTACCAGCCCCGCACGGGTGACACTTTAATCACTTTAATCGATGTTTCCTAGCCAGGCTGACAGGATTTTTTACACTTCGAAAATCTCCTCCTCTGGCTAATTGATTAAATTGCTTTATTACCCGCTCGGTCACCGGGTGTTTGTTGTTGTTGTTGTTGTTGTTGTTGTTGTTGTTGTTGGGTTTTTTGATTGTTTTGTTTTGTTTTCTTCTCCCTCCTCTGCCCATTCCCAAGCGTGGGGATCCTGGCCTAGACAAGAGAGGGGAAAGCAGCTCAGCCCGCCTGGTTGCAGACAGTGGCAGGGTTTATTTTTGGCAAAGCCCAGGAGCGACTTCCGCGCAAACCGGGAGAGGAAAAAACAAACAAACAAACAAACAAACAACAAAACGGGCTCGATCCAAGGAGAGGCGTTAGGCAGCGCCTGCTGTTTATTTTGCGGTGGAAAATTAAAAGGAAAAGGAAAAAAGGGGGGAAAAGGGAGGGGGGAAAGGAAAGGGGAAAGGAGAAAAGAAGGCCAAACTTGCTTGTACGGCTGATAGGTGCTAATGGCCTCCCTAAATCGTCACGTTTGAGGGGTCCCCTCAACTTTCTCTGCAGAGAGAACGAAGTTCGTGGGGACTTGTGTCTTTTGGGAGAGGGTGCGGGACATGGCGTGTCCTAAGGAGTTGCATCTGCGGAGGGAGGATGGGGGGACACCCCGTCCCGCAGCGGCCCCTTGGAGCAGCTGCACAAGGATTCAAGTCTTCTCGGCAGCAAATCGTGTTGCAAGGATTGCGTTCAGCATAAGGATCACGCTGGTAGTCTGGGGAGAAATGCAAAATGGAAGAGAACAAATTAGTCTCTTTACACAAACGCTCCACTGATGGAGCAAAGTCCCCAAGCTACTAAACAGCTGTTTAGTACCTAACAGGTACACCAGTCTGTCACCAAATGGACCTGCCGTTTTCACACAAAATTGTCTGGTCCGGTCCAGTCTGACTGATGATTTGGATTTATGGCTTTGCAAGACTCAGAGAGCTGCAGTTGTACTGAGGAACAGCAGTCCTCAGAGTCTCCTGGAAGGTGAGAAACCCTCTGGAAAGGTCAGACATCACATCCGAGAGTGTGCCCTGGAAGGAACCTCATCTTGTTTCTGTTGCACAAATTTTAGCTCTGTCTCCTACCTCAACAGTAAGCTTGCATTGTCCTTTGGCTCTGTGTGTGCGTGGGTAATGCTCTGCTCTATATGGCTTATCACTATAATCCAAGGACCAAATGTAACACTGCTTTATTAAGATCAGCTCCACAGTGCACGTTTCTTACTGTTGTATCTCATGATGTACTTCATGCTTTCCAAGTTGGTCACCTTGCCCTGGTCTCGCCGGAAGATTTTTGCTCTCGGAGCAAGCTCGTAAGAGAAATCCAGGCCATACTTCCGGACATATGCTGTGTACCCGCTGAGATTGTAAATCTTTTCATGGAAAGGAATATTGTACGAAGGCCAGTAACCTGCCAGAGACAAAACCCAAGCTGTGAGTTACTTAGAAAAGCTGAACCCCCTGCTTTTTTCGCTCTCTCTCTTTTTTTTTTTTTTTTAAAGAAATTATCCTGCATTGCCTTAATCGAATGTCCACGAATAACAAATCATGCTGGTCTGAACACAGCAAAATGGGGCAAGAGTCAGCAGAAGGACCTCAGCTGACTCCCAATACAGCACACTGGGACTGTACCCAGGCTGCCAGTTGCTCCCACCTGAGGGCTCATCCCACCCAGCAGCCGAGTCTCAGGTGAACACGCAGAACATCCCAGTGCTCTGGGGGACATCAAGATCCCCCAAGCTGGGCAGGAGGAGATCATCTCCTTCCACCAAACATTCCTGTAAAGGAATAGCAGGAACTGCAAAGGGACTCCCACCCTCCTTCCCAGCTCAGCAGAGCAAGAGAAACTGCTGAGATGCCAGGAGCAATCTGCAGACACAGCAGTGACAAGAGCAGAGTGAAATTCAAAAAATGAAACACCTAAGCAAACATGCATTTGTGCCATACTCAGGGCCCCAAAAGAGCACTGGGAAAAAAAAAAAAAAGGAGGAAAAAGATATACCCCCAAACCGCCCTAGCTATTGATTAATCTTTCAAATGCATAAATTAAAGCGCTCTTCAATGGGAGGCGTGCCTAGCTGGAAGTATTTAAATGCAGAACAAACTTCCACGCCAAGGGAAAAAAAAAATCTAAGCAGATTGGGATGGGGACGAGCGAACCCAAACTTCCCAGGGAAACATGACGTTATCACGCGGAGACGTTGGTAAATAATTCAATTTTGCGTCTTTGCAGAACCCAGTAACCTTGGGTGTCTTAGAAAGCAGATTGTACAAACAGGCAATTAAGATGAGCGCTGAGAGTTGCAGAGGAGATATAATGAAGCAGCTTTCATTAGATCTGTATATTACATTTTTAATTTCAAGATAGTAAATTTATTTTCACCTAAATTGTGTATCAAATTATATGACTTTTTTTCCAGACTAAGAAACGAATTTCCACCAAGCTTGCCACTGAAGTACTTTCCAAACCCAGTTCCCAAACACACAGTAATAATGATACATTTATCATTACTGATGACCACCCACTGCTTTATTATTGCTTTGTTACTACTATTACAATCAAGAGATTTCTTTATTTACTGTTAACATTCACTTAAAGCTGAATTTTAATGACTCTTCTGACTCCACCAAAAAAAATTCCGTTATATTTCAGGAGTAGTTATGTTTTGGGCTGCAGAAGTGGCATAAAAGCCGGTGAAAAGCTGGGTGATGCCTTGCTCCTATTTTTCCCCTCCCTCTTCAAAGGGCATTTCGGAGAGTTTATCAAGTCAAATTTTCAACAGTTGCAAAAGGCTTGGCATAATGCACACGCTCGCCTGCAGCTAATTATGTAAGTATTTTATTACATGAGATTCATTCATTATTGATAAATGTTTGCAGTAACTTCCTGATATGGAGAGTTGTATTTTATGAGGAATAAGCAACCCATGGGGACTGGGATGCACCGCTTCTGCCCTCCTTGACAGTTCACAAGACCCACTCGCGGGACTGGCTGGCCACTGTTTGCCTCTCAGCTACCAAAAGCAACTTCTCCCCTATCCCTCTACTGCATCCTGCCTCCTCCCCTGGCCGTGATTTCGTTAATAGGTTAAAAACGACTTGCCAGGAAGGGGGTACGATGCTAAAGGGAGCCTTTCCGCAAAGGCGTCTGTCCATAGGTGCATCCAGGGGGGTACGGGCTGCCACGGGGCTGAGGAAGGGGCCGCCGTGCAACAAGCGGCCGGCGGAGACCCGAGCTGCGCTGCGAGAGAAGGGGCTTCCCCAAAAGCAGGGGAGCGAGTGGCTCCTAGAGCCCTGCAAGTGTCGCCCACTCCCCTTGAACCTCAAAACATACACACACCCCCTCGGGATGCAATGCAACCGATTATATATAAATAATAATAAATGTCTCACCGGGTGTTACACCTGCGCGGCACTGATAGAGCAGAGCAGACGCCCCTCCGCAGAGGTTCGTGGCTCTTTGATCCCTTCCTCGCCCTCTCCGGGGGTTTCACGGCTCTGCTCCCCTTCTCCATGCAGGCCCGCTCCCTTCCCGGCCAGGGGGGATCATTCCGCATGGGAAAGGACGAGCATGGCCAGGATGGAGAAAATAATTTCCAGAGCGGCCCCCTTGCGCAGCGGGCCGCATTCCTCCGCCTTGGGGACGAGCCAGCCCTGCTTCTCCAAGCTCACGATTGAAAGGGGAAATTT